TGGCCTGTATACTCTCCATTCATTGATAAAATTATTCACTGCTGTTCCTATCCAAGAATGGATTGTTTCTAAGTGAAAATATTGCCTCAAGTTTATTCAGATATTAGAGATATGCCTAGGCCAAGAGGGAGAAGCCACAAGTTGGTAAGGAAAGCCAAATTTGAGGGTCAGTCATAAACCACTTACTACTTTTATTTGGCTGAATGAGAAAGCATTTTATACCTGTTTCTGTCCATATGCATAACTACTGTGATTGCAAAACCAAGAGACAGTAAAGATGGTTTTCAAGAAAAAACAAAGAATGATGCTTGATCTGCAATGTGGGCAGCTGTTTGATCAATCTCTATAGGGTTTTCACTTGAAGTTTTTGGTCCAAAAGAGGCAAATCTCTTACTACCTGGGTAACCATGAGTATTGCTTGCAGAAGCTATGACCGTGTTGCAGTGCTCACTACTGTTTGCATGGGTCTTTACAGTGAACATTCTTTCCTTCTTACATGTATTCAGAGCAGTGAAGTCCACCACCTGGCGTCTGTATGAGGACCTGGCTGTCACAGTCCCTGCAACTCCCATCCTGTATACATACATTTCCCCTTTAAAGGTCTGGTACTGTTACCAATCAGTTGGCTTATCTATATTAAAGACTGAAAATCGTCACTATATTAACATATATTGATGGATAGACATTATACGTATAACCGGATTTTTTAAAAGACAAACCTTGACTAAAACATCAGGGAATAATAAATACGAATTCCAAAATTTTATTCCATAAAATAAAAAAAATCTGAAAATAGGTAACACAGAAATTGGTTATACGGCTCTAAATTCTACAAGGAAGATATAGAAAGTTTAAGAGTAGGGCCTGATAATTCCTTCATCTCAAACTTAGAGAAAGGGCTTCAACAGGACCATGGAGAGCATTTTATCTTCTTCCCACTGTACTGAGAAGCACAGCACACCAATTTCAAAATATAGTCCTACCTAGGAACGTAGAAAGCAAGGGCTCATCCTATATTTTGACTGACTGGCATTCCCAAAGCTGGTCAAGACAGAGGAGACTGAGTATATAATACTTCCAGGAACAGATGTGGACCACATGGTAAAAAAGAACCAGCATAGAGACTTTTAAAACTCTAATCCAAGAGAACAGGGTAAGAGGAAATGAGTCTTTAATAGAGAAAACCTACATTAGTAAAAAAAAGTGGAAAACCGTGGCCGGGCGCGGTGGCTCAAGCCTGTAATCCCAGCACTTTGGGAGGCCGAGGCGGGTGGATCACGAGGTTGAGAGATCGAGACCATCCTGGTCAACATGGTGAAACCCCGTCTCTACTAAAAATACAAAAACTAGCTCGGCGTGGTGGCACATGCCTGTAATCCCAGCTCAGGAGGCTGAGGCAGGAGAATTGCCTGAACCCAGGAGGCGGAGGTTGCAGTGAGCCGAGACCGCGCCATTGCACTCCAGCCTGGGTAACAAGAGCGAAACTCCGTCTCAAAAAAAAAAAAAAAAGTGGAAAACCGAGAGCTGATGGAAACGTGGTTTGAAGGTAAGAAATCATCACTGACCTGACAGAGTTTCAGCCGGAGAGCCTAGAGAGGCAAGTCTCTAAAAAAACCATAAAAACTACAGTAGGTAAAAGCTACCCCCAAATACATTCTTACTGAAGTACCAATCAAGTAATAATTCTCTGCTTCCCTTCCTGTTCCTCCCTCTCCATATTCTAACTAGTCCTGATGATACCAATCATAGCAGTCGGTGCAGACAATGGAGGTGACTAAAATTTTTGATGGCCTTCTTGCAAGAATGTCACAGTTACGGCCTGATTGTGTGCATAAGAGCATGGAATGAATAACATTTAAATAACGAAGGAAGTGTTTATGTTACGTTAGTCTGGGAAATTTACTTATTAAGTGCATAAGTGTTTTACAACTTGAAGAAAAATGATGAGTTTCATCCATGGACATAGGAAAATTTTCCTTTTGTATAAGTATTTAAAGGACAGTGAAGGTAAACAATCAATTTGTATGTTGATTTTACCTTGTAAGTCATGCCTGGTTAATGTATCAGTTCACATATATATATGCATCACGTACAGTCCCATAGATAACTTTATTTAACCTAGACAGACTCTCTGTGAGATAAATCTCTCTCTCATTTCATAGCTAAAGAAACTGAGTCTAAGAGAGACCATTTAAGACAATCAATAGCTTGCTTGGAGTGAATGAATACATACCATTTTTCTAAGCATTTTATATATTTATTTCACTTAATTTTCATAATAACCCTATGAAGTAGTCACTGTTATATTCCCCATTTTGTAGATGAAGAAACAGAGGCACAGAGGTATTAAAGTTCACAGCCAGCAAGTGATATGGTTAACAATTACAGTTGGGCTTCAGAGCCTACAGCCCTATGTACTAGGCACGTGACATAGGGAATGAGCCACAAAGTCATAATCTACACCAGCAATCCTGAATGAGATTTCCCCTAGATTAATTTGTGAGGACTCAGCTGTATCACAAACAATAAAACAAAAAGTTAAAAAAGGAAAGAGGGCAGCACAACAGGTCTGTCACTAACCACCTTGCTGTGTGGCATGGGGTGAATAAATTGCATTTTCTGGGCTTGAGTTTCCATGTTGATTAAATTAAGTAAATGGACTTTAGAGTCTCCAGGGTCCCTTCCAGAGTTGAATTGGATTTCCAGCTCTAAAAGAATATGTGATGGTGGGCAGCTAATGCATATTAAATTACGTAAACAGTTTACCCTTGCTGTAGGGCTGATGAAACATTTTTAAAATTTACATTTACATAAGAGATACTCTTTTGAAAAATGCTATCTTAACATGTAATCAAAAATATTTTTTATAACATGTCAAGTGGATGAAAATAAAAGACAATTTCAAAGATCAAAGAAGCCAAAATGTGTGTGTGTGTGTGTGTGTGTGTGTGTGTGTTTAAGAGAGTGTGATGGGGTTATACATAGATTCATTATTCTTATTTTTAGAACTGCACAGCTGTTTTGGCAGCTTGTTTTTTGAATCCTACTTTGCAAATGTAATGAGGTTTTTTTCCAAACAAATTTTAGTTAATGGAGCAGATAACACATTTATTTCCTTGTCATAGCTTAGCATTAAATAAGAAATGTAACAAGAATTCACAGTTTAAAATACGAAACATGGTTATTTGGTCTCTTTTCTTACTAGCTACCAAATTAGAAAATAACTCAATATTTTACTTTCTCTCCATATATTAAAATTATCTGTGATTACAAAATATTTTTCACAATTTCATTTCTTGTCACATAAGTCTTTTGCTATTATAAAATCAATAGTTCTGCTACTACTAGTGCCTCTCCAAAGCAAATCTCAAGTCACTGAGTAGAAACTTTTATAGTATCTGACAAGATTTAGGCACTTCCTACATGCCAAATACTGCTCCAAAGCCTTACAATTATGGTTTTATTTTTTTCTCACAACAAATCCGTATCTAGGAACTATCATCCTCATTTGACAAATGAGGAAACTGAGGCAGAAAGAGTAACTTGCCAAAGTTAATCAGTTAGCTGGAGTGCTATGATCTGACAATTGACTGTTATTAGGTGCAAAACAAAACCAGAAACAAGATAAAGGATAATAATATATGCTAAAATATTCTAATTTTTAGTTTACATATTTGATACTTAGACGAGATACCTTAGATATATTTCCACAGAAAGCCTGTCTTAAAAATGTAAACTTGAGGCCTTTTTTGAAGCCTTATTTATTAAAATTCTCTTGTATTACAAAAAGGATCTGACAAGGGAAGTGCTGGTTTCCACCTACTCACCACACTGAATGATGAGGGCCCCAGAAGTTTGTGGTGCGTTTTCCGTAACACCTTCTACAGCGTCTTGCATTCAGCGTGTAGGGTATATTCGTTTCCTGGGGCTGTCACTACAATTACCGCAAACTGGGTGGCTTACACAACAAAAACTTATTATCTCACAGTTCTGAAGTCTGGAATTCTGAAACGAAAATGTCAGCAAGGCCATCTTCCTTCTGAATTCTCTAGGGAAGAATCCTACTTTGCCTTTTCCTAGCTTTGGAGGGTTCATGAAAATCTTTGGTGTTTTTTTGGTTTGTAGTCTCATCACTTCACCCTGTGCGTCTGTCTTCACAGGGCCTTCTCCCTATGTATCTCTATGACTCTCCTTATCTTAAAAGGATGCTAGTCATTGGATTTGGGGCCCACTCTGAATCAAGTATGATATCATCTCAAGGTCCTTAATTAATTATATATGTAGAGTGCTATTTCCAAATAAGGTCACATTCTGAGATTCCAAGGAGACATGAATCTGGGGGACACTATTCATGTGTGAAGACATTGCAGCCTGGCATTAAGTTGAGATTGACATACACCTCTGAGAGGCCCTATATTAGACACATAATCTGTGTAATGACTTCACAAATGTCTCCATGCAGCTGAAGGTTGCACTGTGACCTCAGCCTGGGCACTTAGCAACAAATGGGCAAATAGTTTTCAGATATCCCAAAGGACTGAGGTTGAAGGGATTAGGGGTAGTCGTCTGAGTACAATGCATCCAGGACTTACCTAAAACATAACAAATACATGCCTCACCCATTTTATATATATATATAAAACAATATGACTTCCCACATTAAGAAGTTCAGTCTTGACCGGGAGCAGTGGCTCACGACTGTAATCTCAGCACTTACTTTGGGAGGCCGAGGCGGGTGGATCATGAGGTCAGGAGTTCAAGACCAGCTTGGCCAAGATGATGAAACCTGGTCTCTACCAAAAATGCAGAAAAAGAAAATAGCTGGGCTCAGTGGCAGGCACCCATAATCCCAGCTACTTGGGAGGCTGAGGCAGGGGAATCACTTAAAACCTGGGAGGCAGAAGTTGCAGTGAGCCGAGATCACATCACTGCAATCTAGCCTGGGTAACAGAGCAAGACTCCATCTCAAATAAAATAAATAAGTTCATTCTTTTGAATAGTTTCAGGTCTACAGAAATTGCATAAAGAGTATATACTGTACATAAGGCACAGATGTGATTGCTCAGGGAGAGCAAAAAGACATGTAGAGCTTAATTTCCACCCATGAGGTAAGTGGGACATGAGAGATATAAACAGATAAAATGGATGCCTTGGACTGTTGGAAAAGGGATGACCATGTTTTGCAGATAGTATTACAGGGTTTCCTAGAATTAAGAAATGATGTATGTGAGGGAAAACTGAGAGAGAGACTTCCCAGAAGAGGTGGCTCTTAGACTGGCCCTTGAAAAATAATGTAAAGGTACAACAAGTATGAAACAATTTTCATGACATGAATGGCATAAAACGTATTTTTTGAATGTTATCTAAAATGCTAGATAAACCACCACCATAAAACACCCACTGTGGTGCTAGCATATATGGAACCACAGTATATAGTAACTGTTATCATTTATATTATTTATAATAGTAATACAAGTATGAAAAGTTCTTTTTCAGTTGTGATTCTCTGAGTAGAACATTGTGATTCACCTTGTTTTCTTTCCAAACCAAACAAATATTATCTTTATTAATTTTTTGACATCAGAGAGGCAACTAAACTCTTCGTTAAAGGATGAGGTTGAGCATAAGCATTTATTTGATCATTTATATTCAGCTCTGTTCACAATAGGATTGAAAATTTCCATACACATGTAATTAAATAGATATAGGATTTCAATTTTTAGGAGATTGTAATTACAATAGTTATTTGTGAACATGTTATCACTCCTGGTTGGAAGAGAATTTTCAGCCGGCGTGGTGGCTCACACCTGTAATCCCAGCACTTTGGGAGGCTGACGCAGGTAGATCACAAAGTCAAGAGTTCGAGATCAGCCTGACCAAGATGGTGAAACCCCATCTCTACTAGAAAAACACAAAAATTAATGGGGCATGGTGGCACGTGCCTGTAATCCTAGCTACTCAGGAAGCCGAGGCAGGAGAATCGCTTGAACCCAGGAAACGGAGGTTGTAGTGAGCCGAGATAGCACCAATGCACTCCAGCCTGGGCGACAGAGTGAGACTCCGTCTTTTTTTTTTAAAAAAAAAAAAAAAAAAAAAAAAAAGGTAAATTTTTACCCCTTCCTTTGCCACGACAGAGAAAAACCGATTTTCCGTCGCTCCCCCTGCATCTTTATTCCATATGAGATGTAAGTAATCTCATTGGTCAAAACTTGATGTTCACTGGGCTGTTCACTGGGCCACATAAAATATGAATAGGGCCATTCAGGTTCAAAGGTGGTGAGAGAGTGGTTGGTGGGAGAAGCGCTATTTTATATCACTACCTGCATAGCCACGAATAATTTTCCTTCCTCTCCTATTCCCATGTGGTCAGAACTTCTAAAACAGAGCCCAGATTCTCTCATCTTAGTGCACACATAAAAGCCTGAAATTCTCCTCCTTTCCTGCTCTACCAGACAAACTCCAGGAAGCTGAATGCATAAGCGCATTTGGGATTACTTACAGACACAGCTCTCTCCACAGGCAGGCTCTGAGATCTAATTCAGAGACTCAGAAATAATCCTACACGTCTGTCTTAGAGCAACACTGAATTCTGCATTGCAGCTTTTCCAACTGCTAGACACTTACCACTAATAAAAAAACTGTACTTTGATCCCCATTTACACTCTTGTCCCTATTTGCTACTAGTTGGAACCTAGAAAATCATTACTCCAAACCTCAACATCCTTTTTACACTGCAAAGTTCTTGATGAGGAGGATCATGGAATATTTGCATTTTGCCTTTGGTGACATGCTGATGATCACAGGGCACAGGCACCCTGCCCATTGTGGATGTTCAATTAATGTTTTTTCTTTTCTTGAGACGGAGTCTCACTCTGTTGTCAGGCTGGAGTGCAATGGAGCAATCTCGGCTCACTGCAACTTCCGCCTCCCCAGTTCAAGCGATTCTCCTGTCTCAGCCTCCTGAGTAGCTGGGACTAAGGCATGCACCACCACACCCAGCTAATTTTTGTATTAGTAGAGATGGGATTCACCATGTTGGCAGGGATGGTCTTGATCTCTTGACCTCGTGATCTGCCCACCTCGGCCTCCCAAAGTGCTGGGATTACAGATGTAAGCCACCGCGCCTGGCTCAATTAATATTCTTAAATGGAGATCTGGTTAATAACATTCTTTGAGATAGCTGGAAATTATGCCCTAATTGCTGCTATATCTTACTCTATCTTCAAATAATCTTTACAACAGAAGTTTCCAACAAAAATGTAAAAAACATAGTATTACCTTTGCAATTTGGCTCCCCAATGATATGAGACTCTATACAGGAGATGGTGACAGAGGGGAAAGGAGATTTTAAAAAAAAAGAAAGAACAAAATGTATTGATCGATTTGATTTTTGAGAAGCAGGTCACACTGCAGAGCTGCCTTTTATCTACCATTCCACAGGGAGAGAGTAATGTTTGTCATGATTCTCAAGGCAAATCAATAGAGTTAGAGAATAAAGAGAACAAAACTCCAAATCTCAAGTTCCCAATAACTCAGAAAACAATGAAATCTAGACAGGCTGTAATGTAATACATTGGCTTTCATAAAGTCATAGAATCATCAGGCTGGAAGTCTTGAAATTAGTTCCTGGAGTCACCTAGAAAACTATCGGGGAAGCTGGACTTTTAACTCATTGGCCCTGTTGTTATGCAGCAAACACTGGTCTCATATCAGATTGCTGGTAACTTTGAAGTTATGTATGTTACTGGGATTTATATTCAACAAGCTGAATGGACTGTCCAGGAGCTACTCTAGTTAGGTTCCACCAATGTACAAGTGGAGACATAGCCTTTATTCGAAGACGCATTACAGAGACATATAACAAGCTATTGTATACTAAGTACTATTTGGGATTTACTATTACAAGACACATTCAGATGTTCAAGCCTTGAGTACACTGATGCCCTATGACATAAAATGTAATATAAATGATCTCCTGCCAATTTAATTTCCATTACCCTTAGTAGTTGATAAGCAATTAATACCTGTCAGAGCAGAATTATTATCTCCATTTTACAGATGAAAAAATATAAGCCTCAAAGAAATAAAAGAACTTGGCCATAACCACATTATTTTTAATGGGCCAAGCCAATCAAGGTTCCTGAGTCTAAACCTCATGCCCTTTTCACTACAATCTCAAGAAAATACCTTCACGTCAAGAACTGATTTTCTAGAGCAATGACTTATGAAGAATATCAGCTTATTACAGGGAATGCAAAATAAGTAAATTAAATATAATTGTTTTTTCAAACTGGCCTATGTAAATAAGCATTTTTCTAAGAATCTGTCATAGTTCAGTTACTGTTGTTCATTTTCTCATTATAACTTGACATTCTTTTAACTTCTGAAGCTCTTGTGTACTTCCCATCCTCTCTAATAAAGTTGAAATGTCCAAAAAACTAATTATACTTTCATTTTTGGTGTTTATGCTGTGAACCACCTTTTAGGTAATACTAAAATTATTTTCATGGCTGCCTTTAGTAATTAAAACTTCTTGCATGAAGTAAAAGAAATACCATCCTACTGTGAGAGTATTCTAGACTATTCCAAGGTTATCTTGTTTTGGTGGAAATAACCAAAGACAATCAAGTCAACTAATAGTGTGTTCATTAACTATGACAGAAAATGTTTGAGTATTTACTATGTGCTGGAGATAAAAAAAATCAGCATAACCTGGTGCCTGTCCCTGAGGAGACTGCAGTTTAGGATGAATGGATACACATTCAATTAAACAAAAATATATCAAACTTATATAAGCAAAGAATGGCAGGCTTAGAAAAGGGCAGCCATTCATTCCTCTGAAGCAAGTGAAAATTTCAATAAGGAGGTGATAACTGAATATTGAAGTAACAGATATGCTTTTGCTACAATATGAACTTTAAAAAGCTAAGGAGTAAAATGATCAGTCCTAGAGCTCTGAATTGTATATCATCAGATTTTTGGTTAAATTTTCCATTACATGTGCTGTTGGCACCCATCAGAGAGCAGTTACTTTTCTGATGGAGTTATTAAGCCTCCCAAAGGTCCTTACCAAATCAAAAAACCCTCTAACTCAAATGTGCATCAATGGTAGACTCTGGAAGAGTTCCCATTCACTATTTCCATTCAGTGTGACTAGTGCTGAGTACGGTGGTGTTACTGAGTTGTGGAGAATTTAAAGCAGGCAGAAATCTGCTACCCTTTTTTTTTCAGTTGCTCAGAATGATCTGCAATCTGACTGAACTGATTGATTTCTGGGATCATGACCAGTTTTGGTTGTTTTACATATGCTCACAATTGGAAGATACAGAGGTTTTCAACAAGGAATTGTTAAATGGTTTCCAAAAAAGGCACAAAAGAGAGAATGGCATAAATTGATTCATACTGAATGAAGAAAGAAATTCTTTGATCAATCATGCTGATTATTATTTATAAAACTTCTAAGATAATGGTTTATTGTTGTTCTGAGTATATACTTGAGACTGATTTTTGTTTAATTATCTTCATTTTTATCAACAAGTGATCAAATAACACAAAGTTCCATGATAGCAGAGGAGGGTTTTGACTACTTATGGGAAACTTTAAGATATTATATGTCTGCTGTTGAGCCATGGTATGCATACTTACAATGTACAGAAGTGTTGCTGTAAAATACATCTTCCGTTCAAAATGTTTTCTTCAGAGTTTACATCCTATCCAATTCTAAGATGATAAGACAACTTACAAAGTTAACCACAAAAAAAAAGCTGAAATAAGGATAAAACATAAATGGAATTCTCTGAATGACTCAGAATAAAATAAAGACTACCAGGCCTAAAATGAGAACAATACAGCATTTGACTATACTAAACTTTTTTCTCCAAATAAATCTTGTCAATCACCCTGTTTGTTTGTGCTTAACTTTCAAGGTTTAGAACTAATCATATAGCCTATCATAATAATTTATGAACCTTTCTTTATTTACCAATTCCATCAGTGTGACTTCCTTTGCCCTCATCTGCACTTCACAAGTCACTGCTGATTATATTATCTCATTTTCCAGTTGTATTCTCTTTTTGAATATTGTCTCTCCAAATAAATCAGGGAGGAACTGTGTCTTGTATTTTCTTTGTATCATCATGATACTTAACACAATGCTAAGCATATAGCTTTATTCAGCAGCTGCTCAGAGGTTAACAATCTGTGAAATTTAGCTTATTGTTTCAGTGTGTTTAGCTATCTGGTCTGTTGCATCAAAGGAGACTAGAATCTGCAACCATGAGAAAAGCTC